ATGTTTACAAAAAAACAAACAAACAAACAAACAAAAAAACTGCTCAGTATCCTCTTACTTGTGTGTTGGTATTTTGGTACTGATGTTACGTGTATGTTGTTGTGTACTGCATACATATGCATATTCATATGTATGCAAACGTATGGGGGATGCACATGCCAATAGAAAACAGAGGCTTACCAGGTCTTCTGCTTTACCATTCTGTGCCTTATTCCTTTTAGATAGACTTTCTCTGAACTCGAAGTTCCTGTTTCAGGGGAGCTCCTGGAGCTGGCTGCCTCTACCTCACAATACTCTGATTAGAGGCATGTATGCCATGCTTTGCCTCTATGTGTATGCAAAGGGTTAAAACTCTGGTCCTGATGCTTGCACCAGCATATGCTCTCATCATCTCTCCAACTCACTAGTCCCTTTTGTTTCACAATATATACATTCTAAGATCTCCAGTAGACATCTGATGTCATGAAGAGTTGTGAGTCTTATATTTAGAAAAAAATGAATAAGGAACAGTAAGAAAATCACAACAAATAACAAACTCATAAAATTTACAATACAATAGAACATTGGACATATTGCAATAAAAATGTAAATTCAGTGTTTCTGTGTGGGTGTGATTCTCAGAATAATTTAATGTACTATGCTCACAATTATCTGTGTCATATGTGATGAGATGGAATGAAATAAAGGACCTGAGATAGTAGCATTCACCATAACCAACACATTTTAAGTTTACAGTTGACGGCAAAACTAGCACAGATTTCAGATCTGGATGATTCTGCCTTATCATCTGTTTTAGTAACATCAAAAGAAGTTAAGAGTTTTCACCTTTCACTTTAAAAAATGCCCCTTAGCGACTTCTCTTTTTCTCTAAATTGCCAGCATTATTATTTTTGCTCTTTGAGGTTATTAAGCAAAATAAGAGAGTACTTGGTTACAAGCACTCTGGTACTGTGGCAACCAATATCCAATAACAAGTACGTAGACTTCAAGTTAAGAGGATGACGAATGGGTAGGTGATATATACAGCATGGATACATTAGATAAAAGGAGATTCATATACTGGGCAGGATGGATTGAGACATCATATACTTTCTTACCACTCCCAGAACAGCGGAAAACTTAAAACTTAAATGATGTTTATTTCTGAAATTTCCCCTTCAACATTTTCAGACTGCAGCAGTTGGTTAGCATGTGTACTTACACCAGACTACATTTGATCATAAGTAACAGAAATTATATAAACATAATCATAAATGGAAGGATATTATTTTGCCTTTTTAAATAGGCATAAAAAATTATTTATTCCCCTTTTTCAATAGCTACAAAACCAAGAGCCTTTGATGCCAGAATATGGCCACCATCTTCCTTTTTTATTAATTTATTTTTTATTTATTACAATTTATTCATTTTGTATCCCAGCTGTAGCTTCCCATCCCCTTCCAATCCCACCCTCCCTCCCTCTTCCTCTCCTTTGCCCCTCCCCAAATCCACTGCTAAGGAAGGTCCTCCTCCCCTTCCATCTGACCCTAGTCTATCAGGTCTCATCAGGACTAGCTGCATTGTCTTCCTCTGTGGCCTAGAAAGGCTGCTACCCCCACCCCGGGGGAGATGTTGCCAATGAGCCACTGAGTTCCTGTCAGAGAAATCCCCTATTCTCCTTACTAGGGAACCCACTTGGAGACTGAGCTGCCATGAGCTACATCTGTGCAGGGGTTCTAGGTTATCTCCATCCATGGTCCTTGCAGATGCTGAGACTCATAGTCAAACATTCAGCAGAGTACAGGGTATCTTATGAAAGAAGAGGGAGATGAAATACCTGGAGAGGACAGGAGCTCCACAAGAAAGACACCATCCTGCTTTTGATGACAGTTATGCTAGGTTTATTATGGCCATACCCCAAAGCCAAGTTCAAAACGGTCTACTGTTATATTTTCCCATTTAATTCTTGACTATTGTTGCTCTGGCTAAACACATGTTTAGGGAATTGGCTTTTACTTAGAGAGCATGTTTCATGAAAGTGATACTGAAAACAACAACAAAACCAGCAACATTAGATCTCTACAGTGAAATGAGATATAGTTGGTGAAGGCTGAAGAAAAAGATGGTGCAACAGATTAATGACTTCCATTTTAGAATTTTATCAAAACAAAAACTGGCTGAACAGAATGTCTGCTGAATTCACCCATACTCTTAAATTATTTACCCTCCTGATCTAAATATGCATCAGAATAAAAGTTATTATTTCTCTTGAGTGCCTTTAACAGACAACAGGGGGAAGTGCATATAAATACAAAAAAAAAAAAAAAAACCTGTCATTTATGGGGACCCTTATAAATTCTTTACCATCCAACTAAATATACTTCTCTGATATATTTAAACTACTGGATTCAAATTTTACATTCTAGTAGAATTTAAAATGTTGTATGGGTAAAGGCTGATACAAATTTAAACCCTTCCGCTTTATAGCAAGGAAAATTAGTTGCTGCTGCTTCCTCTGGAGGAGAATAATTTTCAAACTGGTAGAAAAAAAGGATCGCAAAAAATGACATCACTTTTCTTGGTGTCTGCATCTGCTAAGTCTTGTTCAGACACATTTAACCTGTTACCACACTCCACAATTTAATTCAAATGTTCATTTGGTGTAATTCTCATCTATTTAATATAATCAGGTTATCCTTGGTTTAAACAGACTGTCTGAGAAGCAATATCACTAAGTATAATAAAAAACATTAAATTATAAGAAGGACTGGAAAATGTCTTCCAATTGAAAGAGAATGCTGGTATCAGATTTTGTACTGAAAACCCTATGCCATTTAAGAAAATAGGACCAGAGGGAACATAAGCTGCTGCTTTCCTTCACAGAAGATGGATCATTAAATCTGTCCCCCTGAACTCTTAAAGCATTTCCAGTGATTGCATCTGGTTATCAAATAGTTCCTCTAACATCAATCAATATAAAATTCGCAATGTCCCCTTCCTCATTACTGTAGAGATTGTTCAAAGGTAACTTGCCAACATCTAACGTTAAAAAGTGTCATGGGTATAGCAGAGAGGAAAAAAAAGATTACTCAGGAATGAAGACAAATTAAATCCTTTCCTCAATTAAGTAAACAAGACAATCCATAAATATTTTACTTAGAACCTTCATGTACTTATAGGCCACCATATAGATTTTTTTAACATTGTTTTCCTCCATGATTGCTGATTTATATGTGCATACGTTAATGATGAGACACCCACTGTGACAGATTGTCCTGTCAGTGTTCCACTGCCTCCCCTCTATGAACGATTTTTAGTATTGCCTAAGGGGGGAAAAAAACATCATAACATCATTACATCATTTTTCTTGTTCCTGCCTCTATCACGGCTTGCTGAGAAACATTCAACCTGTTACCATGGTCTATAATTTAAGATTTTATTTAGTGTAATGAGTGTCATTTGTCTACTTAAAACATTTGAACTGTCTTTTTTACTTAAAAAGAATATGACTGTACAATAAAAGATACAGGAATAAGAGATTTTTTCATAAAATAAAGCAGTCTGTTGAAATGTTTAGTATAGCATAGGGCAGAAATTGCTAAGAAAATTTATCACTTAAAATCTCTAATGAATCCCTAAACTATTTGTGTGCAGAACAAATAATGTTGATATTTTTATTTTAAAAACATCATGTTATAGCCATGCCAATTTTTATGTTTCTCTGTAAATATGTCAATAATAAGGAGAACATTAACTTTGGAGATCATAGCTTAGCTATTATCTTTATTGCATATAGAAAACATTTATTTACATATTTTGTCTCTGAATACAGGTGGGTCTAAGAATAGCATGTACAGCCAAAGGTGTGTGTGTGTGTGTGTGTGTGTGTGTGTGTGTGTGTGTGTGTATGTGTGCATGTGTGTATGTGCATGTGTGTATGTAGGGGTGAATGTGTTTGTATGTGTGTGTCTGTGTGTGTTTATACTTAGAGAAGAGGACAAGCATACCTGAACATTTTAACATGTGAGAAGCATGTCCTGCACCCCCAAATTACCAATGATACAATTAAAAATGCATTTTTAAAACAAGATTGTATTTCTGTACATTTAAAATCATCCTTGAAAACGTATCCTCTCCAGTAATTCTCTTAACTCCTTTATGTGTATTATGTAGTATGACTCTTTTAATCTTAAGGGGGGAGAAAAAGAGTGTTCCTTCTAACATTACATAAGCCTGTGCACAGACATGAGAGAAAACGTTGCTTCTACTGGGATGAAACCAGTTTCCTCTGAAACCCCACTTGATGTACAAAAAATTCCTAGAGCTGTTTGAATCATTTGAAATGGGCAGCATTTGACCAATTTTAATTTTTAAAAAATGCCATATACAGTCAGATATGACTATAAAGCTTTAAAATGCATCTGAAATTTTACATGTATCAGCCATAAGTTGATTACAGTCAGTCATACAGAAAGGAAAAACTAATATCACTAAATACCCCCCAAATCCATGAAGTTTTACTCTTTTTTTATTAAAACAGTACTGAATCTGTGAAAAGAAATACATTAAATGACTCCCAACTAAATTACACCAAATGCTGTTGCTCTTTGTTCTATCAGATGGCTGTGGAAAGGTATTGATAATGGTTACATCATCAAAATTTTAACTGCAACTTGTGCACCGATTGTGTTTGTGGCTCAAATCTGGAATCTCAGAACTGAGCTTGACAACCATGAAAACATGAAATAAATGAAGTCTAACAAAGACTGGACTAAAGAATAGTTTACTGCACTGCACTGTTCTTATCATTAATACCTGAATATGCGTTTACATACTTATACGTGGGAGATTTTCAAACGACAAGGATCGCAACAGACATTACAGCAAGTGAGGAGCAGATGAAAAAGGAAGGGGAAAATGCCTTCCAAGAAAGAAAGATTCATTAGCCTCTCTGGCAAGTATCTACACCAAACAAGGAAAGGGCAAAATAATCACAAGTAAACCTCTTTAAAGCACAGTACCTTTTTGTGTTTGTCCTTCTTCCATATTCTCTTCCATGGCTACCTTTCTTCGGGAGAATCTGGCGCACGGAATTAGTCAAAGGCTCAATTAGATGTTGCAAAAGCGAGTGCTTATTTTTCCCTGGGCAGCTCCAGCAGCAGTGGCTTGGGCAAGTCCTTGGAGCTTAGCTGAGGCTCCCTCGCGCCTCTTGTTTGTTTGGAGACTGGCTGTCAAGTGTAATTTCATTCAAATTACTCTTCCGTGAAGATTATCAATTTTTCTTCTCAGAGCTGGCCATTGTGTGCCACAGTAAGCAGGTATTCAAACAAACAGCCAGATAATTTTGGGAGGGGGAGTGCAAAGTGGTCTGAATTCTAGGAGCAGGGACAGCAGCATTCACAAGCCCTGCTTTGCATTTAAAATGGGGGAAAGAAATTGAGGTTTCTGTTGATATCTCGGCTTTAAATTGGAAGCAGGCTGAACTGTGAACAAATGGAGGGGTGTCCTCCTAGCATGAAGCGGACCACCAACCCATAATTCCCCCCTTTGCCACCACAGTGGGAAAGCCCAGAATCTCGTCGTGTCTGTCTGCTGCAGTAGTTCCTTCTCACCCTGTCAGATTCATTACAAAAATGCCCTTTCCTTTTACCTCCTCACGAAGTGTCTAGTTAATTTGATTTAAAGGTGCCAAGGAGGGATGCAGTTAGACTATTTCGAGGTTGGCCCATTAAAGGTTATTATTAAGATAAGACCTTTAAATTCACACCTTTCGGGATCAAGAAGAAATAAAAACATGGTTTTCAAGGGAATAAGTATAAATCTTTTGTTTTAGTATTTATTTAGTGACATAGGACATTTACAAGAAAAGAGAAAAAAATACCCTATTGGTGTCTTTGTAAATTATTAGTTTGGTCCATATTAGAAGCTGCCGATTCAAAGTAGAAATCTTGTGAAAGAAAAAATTCTAAAGGTAATTATTGGGGAATAGGGACAAAAAAAAGAACGAAAGGCTTCTACATAAGGAACAACAGGAGAGCATTTTACAATAGGGATCTGCCTCTGATTTGGAATGCAAATCACAGTGCTGCAGTCTGGCAATAAATTAGCAATCATGCTCAACCTATTGAATGACAGGATACAACCAGAATCTCAATACTTCACAAAAGGTACAGGAAGAAAATAAACGTGGTCTGTCAAGGCCCTGTCAAGCTCTCCTAGAGCATAAAGGAAGACTTGCTTGCCTATGTTCATCTCAAAATAAACAAGCATATGGAAACACACACAGAGATGAATAAGCTTTTACCCTTAATGGAAACTATGTATCTTCATTACCTAGATCAAGTAGTTCTTGTGTTATAGGAAAAATTTCACACGGTTTTTAAGGCTCGTCAGCAGCATATTGCATCTCACCCTCTTAATTGTAAGAGCAATTATTTCAAGGAAAATTGATCAGACAACACTCCAGTTTATTTACATAAATAAAGGTCTACTTCTCTCTAATACTCAGTTGTTATTACAATTGTTTTTGCCAAATGAGCTTAACCCAAAGGTAACTGTGATTGAAATAAAAAAAAAAAAAAACCTCTACCGCCCCGCCCCTCTGAATATATATCAATCTGCATTCAAGGATTTTGAGACAGTTGCTTGTTCAGGACAGATTGAGAGAGAAGCCATAAGGGAAATCAAAGAAGCCAAATCATAGCAGTCTCTCTGTTTCAACTCATCTCTCGGTTGACATATCTTGGCACACAGAATAGAATGGAGCCTCCATCATTGTTTATCTGCTTTATTCATCTTATGACACAGAAAAAAAAATATCAGTGCAGCCAATAATTAAGAGCAGTACCCACCAAATAATAATAGTATCTTATATTTTACAGTATTTTATAGTCTTTAAAGCATATTGAGTGCATTACTTAAGGAAAACAGCAGGATAATTGTTTTCCCCCATATGTTGGGAAACACATCTGCTACTCAAACATATCCAAGGTCTAGGAGAAGAAGAAGCTTGTAGAGCACACAAAATCAACTGATTCTTTTGTCCAGTACTCTGATTTTTAAAAACTGTTCTACCTTTCTACTCTGGTCCATCACAGGTGTCTTCAGTGTTCTTTAAAAAGTCACCCTCAGTTCATGCCTATTCTTACAATGCATATATAGAAAAAAATAGAAAAGAATTAAAGAGAAAGCAGTAGAAAACAAATTTGCTGGGCAAGACCAACTTTTTATTCTGGAAGCTGCAAGGGAACAATGCATTTGTTTAATCACCATTTTTTTTGTAATAATAGTTTTTCTTCATGAAACAGAATGTTGAATATAATAGAGTTCTTCCAAATTGATGAGAAGAAACATTTTACATACATAGAGTATTCTTACATCAATAACCTGTAAGCAAGCTATGACTCCCCTGTTAATATAAACACAAGCTGAGCAATTTGAAGTCTATACTCTTGTGGGGTTTTAGCATATTCTCATTTATCTATTATTGTTTTCACCATTCCTCTTTGGAACTTTTTAATATCTCCAAAGTGAAGTTTTGTACCCATCAAACACAAATTCCCCATCTTCCCATTTGACAGCTGGGGTTGATGCTACTGGATAATATTTTTAGGATCATTTGAAACTCTTCTGTTATTTGAAGTAAAAACACTTAAACATCTAAGTATGTGAAAAATAGTTTGATTTTATGAATTGTAAACCTAACACATTAACATTAGTGATTGCCAATGCTTTCCTCTGTATTCCTCTGTGGTTTGAATGAGAATAGTGTCCATAAGCACATATAGTCAAATGCTTGGTTCCAAATTGGTAGAACTCTTTGAGAAGGACTATAGGTGTGTCCTTGTTGGTGGAAGTGTGTCACTGAGAGCAGAATTTGAGAGTTCAAAAGCTCACACTGTTCTGCATTAGCATGACACATGCTTGTTTATTAAGATGTAGCTTTCGGTTACCACCCCAGCCCATGCCTGTCTATGTGCTTCCAGAGTCCCCACCAAGATTGTTGTGGACTCTAACATTCTGGAATCACATTCAAAGTTAATTTTTTTTTTCATGAATTGCCTTGTGTTTTCACAAAGCAATAGAAAAGTAACAATGATACTCATTAAATCTATAAGTTATGATGATATTCATGCCTCATCAAATATTCTTTCAATTATATACATTATATTTTTCCTGACTCTGCTTTAGTTCCACTTTTAGTGTTTAATATACATAATTGGACATCTAAAAACTATGATCATTAATGATATAAATATTAGTCTTTGAAGTATTTTTTGAGATGTATTTATGACATATTACTTTTTTCATGTAAAGAATACCTACTTGGGGGCCAAGATGGCGCCACCGGGAGAACACTGTGCCTGAGAAGCAGGACAACACTCTCCATGCAGCAACCAGGAGACTGAACCTAATAGATGTCTACAGATCTTTTCATCCAAACTCAAAAGAGTATACCTTCTTTACCCAGGTGAGGGGAGGCTCCCACAGCATGGGAATTGGTCCAGTCCACTCTCAGGCCACACAGCCAGAACCCAGAAGAGATCCCGGGTAACATGGGCATTGGGTCTCCAGGCGGGAGCTGCACACCTGTGTGTCCTGATCACTTTCCCAGGCTGATTGGTGGGCACAAGGGTGCCAGAGACTGGAAGTCCCAGACACAAGAAAATCCCACGGGGAAGGAAAGTTGCGAGACTGATCACCGGTCACCCAGTCTTTCCCTGGAAGGTCTCTCTGACCACGGGTACCCACCGCCATCACAACTGAGCTCCTGCAGTGCTCAGAGAGCAGCTGCGCGCCCAGCTCAAAATCCCTACTCCCTCTTCAGAGGAGGCAGGAGGCGTCCAGCAGAATCTGCCACAGACCACATTGTCTGTACCCCAACCCAAGATCGGGGCTGAGAAAACCCAATCCTTTCCAGCACACCCCCAAATGCTGCCATGACCCTGCTGCGGCGGAGCGGAAGGATAAAGAGGCGCACAGCGGTTTCACAGTGCAGGGACCCCAGTGCTGCCAGCTGCTCCTAGCAAAAAAAAATTCAGCTCGGGATCTGGGACTGTGGTCATTCAACACGTCCTGAGATTCTCCTGGGTCCAGCACAATAAGGTCTCAGAGAAATGACCACGAAAATTGAGGTAAACAAAGAAGAAATGCACAAAGCTCTCAAAGAAATGTCCACACAAATGAAGGCAAATAAAGAAGAAATAAACAAAGCTCTCATAGAAATACAGGCAATTATAGCCAAAGAAGTAGAGGCACAATTAGTGATACAATTAGAGAGGAAACTGACAAAAAAATAGAAGCTGTCATTGAAAAGCAGGACTCCACATTCAAACAGATGAAGGAAATGGTGCAAGACATGAAAACAGAATTAGAATCAATAAAGACAACACAAATAGAGAAAAACCAGGAGCTCGAGAACATAGAGAAAAGATCAGGAACTACAAAGGTAAGCATCACCAACAGAATACAAGAGATGGAAGAAAGAATCTCAGGAGCCGAAGATACACTTGCGGAAATTGACACGTCTCTCAAAGAAAAAATAAAATCAGAAAAGTTCCAAACACAAAACATCCAAGAAATCAAGGACACCATGAAAAGACAAACTCTAAGAATAATAAGAGTAGAAGAAAAAGAAGACATCAGGCTCAAAGGTCCAGAAAATATTTTCAAGAAAATTATAGAAGAAAACTTTCCCAACTTAAAGGAGATGTCCATAAACATACAAAAGGCCTACAGAACACCAAGTAGACTAGACCAGAAAAGAAATTCTTCATGTCACATCATAGTCAAAACACTGAACCTACAGAACAAAGAAAAAATTCTAAAAGTAGCAAGGGAAAAAAGGCCAAGTAACATATGAAGGTAGACCTATCAGAATCACACCAGATTTCTCAACAGAAACTATGAAAGGCAGAAGGGCCTGGACAGAAATCATACAGTCCTTAAGGGACCACAGATTCCAACCCAGACTACTATACCCAGCAAAACTTTCAATCAACATAGACAGAGAATTCAACATATTCCATGACAAAACCAAATTTAAACAAAAGCTACATAGTAACCCAGCTCTACAGAAGTTACAAGAAGGGAAACTCCAAACCAAAGAAAACAACTACATCCAAGGAAACAGAGGAAATAGATAACTACACAACAAAAAACCCAAAAGAATACAAGCAATGAACTCAGTGACACCACCAACCCCATATCAAAAGTAAGTAACAATTGTTGGTCACTAGTATCTATCAACATCAACGGACTCAACTACCCAATAAAAAGACACAGACTAACAGAATGGTTGCTGAAACAGGATCCAACATTCTGTTGCATCCAAGAAACACACCTATGCAACAAAGATAAACACTACCTCAGAGTAAAGGGCTGGAAAAAATTTTTCAAGCAAATGGTTCCAGAAAACAAGCTGGAGTAGCCATCCTAATATCTAATAAAATAGACTTTCAACCCAAGTTAGTCAAAAAATATAAGGAGGGCCACTATATTCTCATCAAAGGAAAAATCCACCAAGAGGACATCACAATTTTGAATATCTATGTCGCAAATAAAAGAGCACCTACATTT